CGCTTGTCGCCGCGCGCCGTTTACTGGAGGCCTCGCCTCACGACCTGTGGCGGAAGAAACTAGGAGCCACCCACCAAACTGTGGGAAATTCTTAAAGAGACGGGAATACCAGACCACCTGACCTGTCTCCTGAGAAATCTGTATGCAGGTCAAGAAGTAACAGAACTGGACATGGAACAATGGACTGGTTGCAAATCGGGAGAGGAATAGTCAAGACTGTATATTGTCTCCCTGCTTATTTAACTTATATGCAGAGTACCTCATGCGAAATGCCTGGCTGGATGAAGCACAAGCTGGAATCAAGATTGCTGGGAGAAATATCAATAACCTCAGATATGCAGATGACACCACCCTTATGGCAGAAAGCGAAGAAGAACTAAAGAGCCTCTTGGTGAAAGTGAAAGAGGAGAGTGAAAAAGTTGACTTAAAACTCAACGTTCAGAAAATGAAGATCATGGCATCCGGTCCCATCACTTCATGGCAAATAGATGGGGAAACAATGGAAGCAGTGAGCTTTATTTTCTTGGGCTCCAAAATCAATGCAGGTAGTGACCTCAGCCATGAAATTAAAAGATGCTTGCTCCTTGGAAGAAAAGCTATGACAAACCTAGACAGCATATTAAAAAACAGAGACATTACTTTGCCAACAAAAGTCCGTCTAGTCAAAGCTATGGTTTTTCAAGTAGTCATGTATGGATGTGAGAACTGGAGCATAAAGAAAGCTGAGCACTGAAGAATTGATGCTTTTGAACTGTGGTGTTAGAGAAGATTTTTGAGGGTCCTTTGGACTGCATGGAGATCAAATCAATCAATCCTAAAGGAAATCAGTCCTGAATATTCATAGAAAGGACTGATGCTGAAGCTGAAGCTCCAGTACTTTGGCCACCTGATTCAAAGAACTGACTCATTAGGAAAGACCCTGATGCTGGGAAAGATTGAAGGTGGGAGGAGAAGGGGATGACAGAGGATGAGATAGATAGTTGGATGGCATCACCAACTCAATGGACACGAGTTTGAACAAGCTCTGGGAGTTGTAATGGACAAGGAAGCCTGACATGCTGCAGCCATGGGGTCTCAAAGAGTCGGACATCACTCAGCAACTGAACTGACTGACTGACTAAGGGTGGTCTGAAGGGCTTCTCAGGTGTCACTAGTGGTAAAGAACCCACCTGCCAATTCAGGACATACAAGAGACATGGATCCTATCCCTATATGGGGAAGATCCCACTGGAGGAGGAAATGGCAACCCATTCTTGTCAGGAGAATCCCATGGATAGAGGAGCCTGGCGGGGTATAGTCCATTGGGTCGGAAAGAGTTGGATGTGACTGAAGTGGCTTAGCATGCACTCAGGTTATGTGATGTGTGAAGCTCCAGTACTTTGGCCACCTGATGTGAAGAGCTCACTCATTGGAAAAAGACGCTGATGCTGGGAAACACTGATGGTGGGAAAGATTGAAGGCAAAGGCAGAAGAGGGCAGCCGAGGACGAGATGGTTAGTTAGCATCATTGATTCAATGGACCTGAATCTGAGCAAACTCTAGGAGATAGTGAAGGACAGGAAAGCCTGGCATGCTGCAGTCCATGGGGTCACAAAGAGTCAAGACATGACTTAGCGACGACAACAACAACAACAACAACAAGGGTTGTCTGGGCTCTTCCCCTTCCATAACATCTCAGAAGCTGCAGAGAAAACTTTAATACACATCACACTGCAATTCATTGTCTGGTTGTGGGTCTTCCCTGTTGCCTCGACATTTACACCTGATGTCCAGTTGGCTGAGATTCAAAGCTGTAGCTACCTAGACCGCTCTCTCTGATGCTTCTCTCTCCTCCAGCCTTTGCTTCCGTCTGCTCTTCCTGAAGGTCCTGCCATCAGCCAACTCTGTAAGAAGCAACCGAGGCTCTTCCTTCTAGAGAAAGCTTTACCTGCTCCACCAGCTAAATGTGATGTCCCTACTGTGCCACCCTTTTCCTAATCCACCATGTGCCCTGGGCCCCTGTAGTCTAGATTCAACAAAAGGATGTATTAAAAGGAACCAAGTTTACTAATATAAGTACTTTTTAAAGTATCCCAGTCTTAACTTGGATTTCTTTCAGAATGTTATGGGAGTTACAATGTTTGTGTGCACGCTTAGTTGTGTCCAACTCTTTGTGACCCCATAGACTGTAGCCAGGTTCCTTTGTCCATGGGATTTTCCAGGCAAGAATACTGGAGTGGGTTGCCATTTCCTCCTCCAGGGGATCTTCCCGACCCAGGGATCAAACCGGAGTCTCCCAAGTCTCCTGCACTGCAGGCAGATTCTTTACCATCGTGCCACCCTGAGTCAGATTGTCAAAATCCCTTCTCCTTCTCTACCATTCTCTCTCCCTATTTCTTTTTAAAAAGTATTAATTTATTTTTGACTGTTCTGAGTCTCCATTGCTGCACGGGCTTTTATCTAGTCGCAGTGAGCAGCGGCTACTGTCTGGTTGTTGTGTGTACCTTCTGATTGCGGTGGCTTCTCTTGTTACGGAGCACAAGGAGCAGGTTCCAGAGCTCAGGCTCTACATCTCAGGCACAATAGTGGTGACCTGGGGGCTTAGAAGCTCCGAGGCATGAGGGATCTTCCCAGAACCCATGTCTCCTGCATTGGCAGGTGAATTCTTTACCACTGAGCCTCCAGGGAAGCCCTACCATTCTCTTATTCATTACATAGACATTTCAGTGCTTATGATGAGCCAGGTCCTCTGTGCACCACAGCTGATCCCAAATCTCTGATTCGCTGAATGCTCCTAAACTTTCTCCCCGTCCTTTTTCCCTCTCCTCTCTCCCTCCTTTTACTCACTCTGTATAAACTCTTTATTACAGGATTGATCTTCCCTCTTAAATTAAAATACATACAAGGTAGTAAAATATACATAACATAAACTTTACCATTTTAATAATTTTAAGTGTACAGAAATTAAATACATTCACCACTCTCTATTTCCAGACTATTTCATCATCCAAAATCCTATACTCATTAAGCAATAACACCCGATTTCCTGCTACCCCCAGCCCCTGGTAATCTTTGTTCTACTGTCTGTATATGAATTTGTCTCTTCCAGATATCTCATATAAATGGAATCATACAGTATTTGTTTTTGCTTATTTCACTTATTTCATATTTTCGAGGTTCATTCATGTCATAGCCTATATCAGAATTTCATTTATTTTAATGACTGAATGATATTCCACTGCATGGTATAAAAAATTAATAAACAGAAAGTTCGGTTTAAAAAGAGTCAAGATCCCAGAATGGGGCGCTCCCAGGCCCTGAAATGCTAGCCCAAAAGGAAGAAGGAAGACTGTCTTCTTTCCTGACAAGGACTCAGCCAGTCAAAAGCCACAGACTCTGCTTCCTCTATCCCTCCTTTCCCCAGCTTCCTTTTCCCCTCAATAAAAGAGTTCTGCTCCCCTTACCCTGAGGGGACTTGCATGTGGTTGGCCTTGGTTGCAGACCCTGAGTTGCAATTCTCTGCTGATCTCATGCAAACCCATTTTTGCTGGAACAATTCTGGTAACCTCATTACTTCAGGTGAACAATGGATAGACCACATTTTGTTTATCCATTCATCTACTGATGGATATTTGGGTTGTTTCCACCTTTTGGCTATTGTGAATAATGCCGCTGTGAATTATTGGTGAAGAATACCTGTTCAAGTCCTTGTTTTCAGTTCTTTTGGGCATATATCTAGAAGTGGGACTTGCTGGCCCATGCAGTAATTCTAAGTGTAGCTTTTTGAGCTCTAAACTTTTCCACAGAAGTTGCATTTTACATTTCTACCAGCAAAGGTTCCAAATTTCCACATCTTCGCCAATACTTATGTTCCATTTCCTTTGATATTTGCTATCCTGGTGGGTATGAAGTTAACCTCTCTTTATGTGAATTGCTTTAACATTTAATTTCAACTTTACCTTGTTTCTGTACAACAAAGAAGAGATTGAGAGATGAGATTTCTTTCTCCTAGTTCTATTTCATTTCCCTAAAGTCCTGGAGTGACAAAGACAGAAGTCCCCTTAGAATCTAGAGGGGAGAGATGCTGAGAGGTGAGGGAGGGCACCTCCTCACTCTGACAGTCTTATCCCTCACATTCTCATCGTTCTGTTTCTGTGTCCACTCTCCCACTAGACTGCAAGCTTTTTGAATGCAGGACCCTGTCCCTGCCTTTCTGAACCCGCGTATTCAGCAGCACAGGGCCTGCTACAGACTAAGTGGTCAGTGAATGAAAGTACATGACTCTGTGTGTGTGTGTGTGTGTGTGTGTGTGTGTATCGGTACTCAATTGGCTATATCCCAAAGCCAAGGGGTGCTTTGGGAATGAGCCGCAGTGTTTCCTTTTTCACACTCTGATTCTTTGCATCAGTATGTGCTGAACAACACCTGGGGAAAATAGGGTGTCCCAGGAATAAGGTACCTGAAGAATCTTCCATGTGGGAGAGCATCTGGGACTAACTCTTAAGAGCTAAACTTTGGGATAGCATCCACCATCAGCACCAAGTTCCATCACCATCTCCGGAAGACAAGCAGTGTGAAGGCAGCCCACAGTGGCCCCATGTGGCTGCCCCAAGTAGGACACCTTCCTCTCTGAATCTCATAGGGAATGCTCGCTTCGTGTAGCCGGTCTTACAACATGTTCAGAGCACTTGCTCTTCAGTTCAGCCTAACAGAGATGGGCACTGAGCTACTATAGGCCAGGTGCTGGGTGCTGGGGCCACAGAGATGAGGCCCACCCAGCTTCTACCTTCATGGAGCTAACAGAGAGGAGGAGACAGAGAAAAAAGTGAATCATTTGCACTGCGGAGTGAGAAGTGTTGTGATGGAAAAAACTCACAGAGGAGTGTGGGAGTTCAGAAAAGAGACCTCACCCAGCCTGGGGGCAGTCAGGGAAGGCTCCCTGGAAGAGGTTACCTTGACACAATAATCCTTGTGAGGTAGGCGGGGCGAGGATTGTTATCCTCATTGCGGATAGTGGAGTCACTGAAGCAGTGACCAGCCCAGGGAAACTACACTGTCCTCTGGCTGTGGGAGGTCAGACTGTCCTTTACCTTATTCTCAAACCCCAGTCACATGGCTAGACACGCCTGAAAGGCATTTCTAAACGTCTATTGCCAAGAATAAGAGGGCCTACTGACTACTCCCAGGTTAACGCCATTATTTAACAGATTCAATTCAACCCAAAAGCAGAGTGCAGGCTCACACGGAGCCCATCTCGTATGGGAGGAGGTGACGGCGGTGCACAGCCTCGCTGTGATTCATCCGGCGGCTTTCTGGTAGGTCTGGGGCCAAGGTGGGGGCTTGAGATGGGCTGTGTTCCTGTGTGGCTTCCAGAACCATGATAGGTCACTTATCTTTACCTGCTGTGTTTTTCTGCCATCATAAACATTTCCAAGAGAAATTTCCCCGTTTCTCAGATGGGGAGTGTTAGTCATTCAGTCGTTTCTGACTCTGCGACCCCATGGACAGACCCTGCCAAACTCCTCTGTCCGTGGGATTCTCCAGGAAAGAATACTGGAATGGGTTGCTGTTCCCTTCTCAAGGGAATCTTCCTGACCCGGAGATCAAAGCCAGGTCTCCCGCACCGCAGGCAAATTGTTTACCATCTGAGCCATGGGGAGACCACTTTAAAAGGGAACTTGGTAACAAGACAATCTTATAAAAGAATAAAGTTGGTCACCTCACACTTCCCAATTTCAATACTTAATATGACGGGACAGGAATCAAGACAGTATAGTACTGGTATAAAGATAGGCCATAGAACAATGAAATAGAATGGAAAATTCAGAAACAAACCTTCACATTTACAGCCACTTGATTTTCCCAAAGTGTGCCAAGACAATTTGATAAAGAATAATCTTTTCAACAAACAGTGTGGGAATGAGTTATCTACATTGCACACGCAAAAGAATGAAGTTGGACCCATATCTCACACGATATACAAAAATTAATTCAAAATGGCTCATAGACCCAAATGTGTGAGCTAAACCATATAACTCTTAGAAGAAAACATAGACAAATCTTTATGATCTTGGATTTATGTTATAATAAAAAGAATCTAATAGATTCTTAGATATGACACTAAGAGCACAGGCAACAAAAGAGAAAAGTAGGTAAATGAAACTTAAAATTAAGAATTCTTGTTCTTCAAAGGACAACAAAAGTGAAAGCACAATTCACATAATTTGAGAACAATGTTGCAAATTATGTATCTGACAAAGGACTTGCACCTAGATTATATAGAGAGTTCTTACCATTCGATAATAAAAAGACAAATAACCCAATTTATAAATGGACAATGAACCTGAATAGACATTTTCCCAAAAAATATACATAAATAACCAATAAGTACATGAAAAGGTGACCAACATCATTAGCCATCAGGGGAATGCAAATCAAAATCACAATAAGATACTGCTTTTTACCCGCACCCACTAGAGTGGCCAGAATAAAGCACACACACAGCAAGTGTTGGTGAGGGTGTGGGAGACTGGAGCCCTCAGACATCTTACATTTTGGGGAACGTAAGATGATGCAGGCACTTTGGAAAACAGCATGGCAGTTACTCCAGGGGCTAAACATAGAGTTACCACATGACCCAGAAATTCCATTCCTAGGTATACACCCAAGAGAAATGAAAACATACTTTCACACAAAAAAATTGGTACACAAATGTTCATAGCATTATTAATAATAGCTAAAAAGGGGAAAGAACTCAAATGTCTGTCAACTGATAAATGGAGACATAAAAGGGGAAATTCCTTGGTGTCCTAGTGGTTAGGATTCCCAGCTTTCACTGCTGCGGCCCAGGTCCAATCCCTGGCTGGGGAACTAAGACCCTGCAAGCTGCATCACACTGCCAAAAAAAAAAAAAAGGAATGAAGGGCTGATACAATCCACAAATCAGATGAACCCTGGGAACATCTGCTAAGCCAAAGAAACCGGTCACTCAGGACCACATATTGTATACATGTTAGTCGCTCAGTCGTGTCCGACTCCATGCAACCCCATGGACTATAGGCTGCCAGGCTTCTCTATCAATGGAATTCTCCAGGCAAGAATACTGGAGTGGGTGCCATTCCCTTCTCCAAGGGATCCTCTTCATCCAGGGATTGAACCCAGGTCTCCTGCATTACAGGCAGATTCTTTACCTTCTGAGCCACCATGGAAGTGTGATTCCATTTAAATGAAATGTCCAGAATAGCCAAGACTACAGAGACAGAAAGTAGATTAGTGATTGTCTAGGGCTGGGGGTGGGTTGGGGGGATTGAGGTGATGACTAAGGGGTGTGGGCTTTCTTTTGGGGGTGATGAACAGTGTTCTAAAATTGGAGTGAGGATTGTCCAATTCTGTGAATATACTAAAAGTCACTGAATTGTACACTTTAAGTGGCTGAGTGGTGCGATGTGTGAATTAAATCTCAATAAAACTGAGCAAGAAAGTGCCCCTAAAGGGGGGCAGAGTGTACTGGGCACCCCCCGATTCTATCCTCAGATACATGCTCTCCTGCTGGGGGCGGGGGCTTCCTCTTCTCGTCCAGATTCTCAGGGAAGTTGTAAGCCCCAAACGGGGGACAGAGAGGGGGCTGGATTCCCTCTGGAGCCGCTACCCCCTCGAAACTCAGCCTGTGGAATATTGGGGCCTGAGGATTCTGAGGCTGAGCCTGTGCTTTCTGACTGGAGACAGTGGACAATGGGGGGTGTGTGTGAGGGGTGTGGAAGGGGGCCAGGTTTCTCCCAGATGGGTCATCTACGTGTGGGGCAGGAAGGCTCAGAGCAAAGGGGACGGCCTAGGGGGCCTAAGGGGAGAGAAGGGAGGGACCCCAGGGGAAGAGAGAGGGGCTCGGCCACGGTGCTGACTCCTCTGTGCCCAGTGAGAGTCTAGGTCTTCAGGGCAGGCTGGAGCTGCGCCCGTAGTGGGGTCCCCTGGTGCGGGGGTCTTGTTTGCATTGTGGGGATGGTGGGACTGGAGGGGAGGCATGGTGGGGAGGAAAGGAGAAGGGAGGGGCATTCGGGTCAGCTGCTGTGAGGGGCATGTCCCTTGAGTCCCCGGTGAGAACCACTGGGACCCCCAGTGTGCTCCCAAAGCCTGATGTTGTGCCAGGCATGGGTATGGCTGGCACACAGTTGATGGCTATGCAGGTGAGTGAGGGAATGAATTGAGCTTCTTTGGAGGCAAGATGATATGGTGAGATAAGCAGTCCTAGGAGTCACACAGGCCTCAGTTTGAAACTGGTTCCTCTGCAGATTTGGTGTGTAGTATTGGACAAGGCACTGGGCCACCCTGAACCTCAGTTTAAAACAGGGTTGAACCCACTGACCTCGAGGACGGGGTGGTTAGAACATCGGTGACGAACATGCCCAGCAAACAGAAGGTTCTTCTGTGGGTGCTGGTGGTCTGTCAGGATTTAAAGTGGGAGAAGCACTATCAAGATTCTCAAGGTGTCACTGGGTGGGTAGGATTTACCCCTAGAAATAAGTGAACAGTGAAAAGAGGTTTCCGTGGCATTTCCCTGGAAATGATACTGATGTTGCAGCAAAAGAATTCAAAGGCCGGAGACAGGGCTGAGGTGGTTGGAAGCTTGGAGAAAAGGCAGGAGCTAGAAGGATAGAATTGGTGGGGGGGGGGGGGGGGTGGATTGTACGAGGTAGCCCAGATCAAAAGAGAATGCTGGTGTAGGGGGTGGTGGTACAGCCAAATCAGAGGCTGGATGGGAAAGGCAGAAGGGGAGCCACGAAGGAAAGCTGTAGAAAGGGATATGTCCAGGGCAGGGCTGGGGAGATCTGGCAAACCCCCTAGTGCCCCTGGAGACTTTAGGGCCCCATGCAGATGTTGCACACTCCTTATTCCTTTAGCCCCGGGAGGGGCAGTAGCAGCAACAACCATGACACACTCGTGTTCTCTTTAAAGTGTACATTTAGTATATTAAAGACTCTGAGAAATCTGCAAAAAGAACCTATTTCATTAAAAATATATTTACTTACTTGGCTGCCTGGGGTCTTAGTGGGATCCTCACTGTGGCCCGTGGACTCTCTAGTTGCGGCAAAAGCGGGCTCAGTAGTTGTGGTTTGCAGGCTTAGTCACCCTGCGGCATGTGGGACCCTTGTTCACCAGCCGGGGTCGAACCTGCCTCACTCACACCACAAGATGGATCCTTAACCACTGGACTGCCAGGGAAGCCCCAGTCGCTTTCATTTTAACTCAGGACTTTCCAGACACATTTGACCTCAGAACTTTTTTGTGGTGCCCCTCAAGGAGCCAGTATTCTGGAGAACACTTGTTAGGAAATGCTGCTCTAGAGAAAAGTGTGTGGGTTTGGGGACCTAGCAGGCCACGGTTCGATTCCTGCTCTGTGACCTGTCTGGTGTTAGACCTCAGGCAAGTCACTTTGTTTCCCAGAGCTTCCTTCTTACCTAGAGTCATTTCGAGAACTGGGGAAACTACACGGGTAACACACGCGGGGAGGTCCCTGGTCTGACCGTGTGCCCCTGTTCTGGCAGGCCTGGCCCTACTTCTCCCCCTAAGCCGGGCCCTCTCCATCACAGACTCCACGTGGGCTGCTGAAGGGGCAGCTCGGTGATGGGCTTGGTGGGACTTCGACTCGATTTCTTTTCTGGGAACACAGTGTTTGATGCTCCTCAGTTGGTACCCTCACTGGCCCTGGCACGATGGACAACGGGAATGCCCAGATGTACGTGGAGGATAGGACAGAGGCACCAGGGGCCCAGCCAAGTCCTGGCCTGAGGACTGCCAGCAACAGGGCTGGTGAGCCCACCATATCAGAAGTCAGCCAGGTAGGGACCTGCCTCTCCACCCACAGCAGGCACTTTCCCTTCCCTTGCCCAGGTTTTCCCTCCAACTTCTTTAATTAAGCTTCTGTAACAACTGGCACAAAACTCATTTTCAAATTGGACTAGGCAGGAATGAGAACACAGCTGGGTAACTGACAGATCTGCCTGTAGGATTCAAGTACGGCTGGATAAAGGTACTAAATGAGTGTCTCGGCTCTGCCTACCTCTGTGGCATTCCCAGGCATGCTCTCCCTGCAAAACGGTAAGAAGTGCCCTGGCCACTCCAGACTTACACCTTCCCATCGTACTTCCTCTGGTTTAACATCCCAAACAAGAGGAGAGCCCCTTTGCAATAGCTGAAGAAAGTCTCCGGTATCAGTGTCACTGACCAGGTTGTAGTCACATATTTATCCCTGAATCAGTCACCATGGCAGGGCAGAGTGGCCTGGATCTCTTTGTATAATGAACTCAGTGGGGGTACTCTCGAAAGGAGGCAGGAAGGCTCCCATAAAAGAATGTTGGCTTCTGTTACCAAAAGAGATGCTGGCTGGTTGAGGAAAACAAGAATTGTTTACTTACTCTACTAAGTAGAAAGCTTTCCATGGCCCTTACCCTCTGCCTCCCCCATAACCTTTATTCCCCTGACAGCTACTCAGAGTTTCCATCCATGATCTCTGCGCCTTCCTTTCTGTGTCCCTGAGCTAAAAATGTCACCATAAAAAGGGGCAACACTTCTTTGGATTAAGTATAGCCCTCTAACTATAGCCTCTGTTATAAATCATGGCTTCTTGTGGGCCCAGGAAGAGGGCCTGAAATGAGTCTTGGAAGGAGCCTGGGGCAAACATTCAGGGCTTCCGTTACCTGCCCATTTGTTTTTCCCATGAGCATAGTCATGGGATCTCAGTGCCGCCACTTAACCAGCTGTATGATCTTGGGCTTGGCACTGTAGCTTCATGGACTCCTGTGTGTCATGCTGAGGATTAACTGGGTTAAATCCCTGGGGACACTTGGCCCTGCCCCTGCCCCTGCCCCTTGGTTGATGCCCTTAGTGTTGATCCCCAGAGGAATCATGTGTTATAACAACTACTATCAATTGATTGAGCCAAGTTGCCTGGAGTTTGCTGACTCAGATAAGGCTTGGAGCTCCCTCGGAGTCGCTGGCTCAAGGCCACCCAACTAGGAAGTGATAGACATCAAAACCCAGAGGAAATTGAGGAACCCTCCCTTGGGCCTTGCGAGGGTCTCTCTCTTTTTTTCTTGGCTGCTCCTTGTGGCTTTCGGGATCTTAGTTCCCTGAGCAGGGATTGAACCTGAGCCCTTGCCATGGAAGCTCCGAGTCTTAACCACTGGACCGCCTGGGAAGTCCCCCCAGGTGCTCCGTCGAGCTCTCCTTGTCAGGTCGCGGTGACCAAGGTACCGCTAGGGCTCCAGTTTCCTGTGGCGCCTTCGGTGCTGACTGGGCCCCTCCCGGCCTCTTGTCTCCTCCCCGTCTTCTCAGCGCCTCTCCGGTGAGGCGCGAGGTCTGCCCTCCCGCGAGGTGCAGGGTCTCGTCTCCCCCGTGAGGGACAGACTCTCCCTCCCGTGAGGGGCGGGGGTCTCCTCCCCCGTGAGGCTTGGGGTCTTCCCTCCCGTGAGGCGCGGGGTCTCCTCCCCCGTGAGGGACAAAGTCTCCTTCTCCGTGAGGTGCGGGGTCTCCCCTCCCATGAGGCGCTGGGTCTCCCTTCATGTGAGGCGCAGAGTCTCTTCTCCCCTGTGAGAGACGGACTCTCCCTCCCGTGAGGGACGGGGTCTCCTCCCCAGTGAGGCGCGGGGTCTCCCCTCCCGTGAGGCGTGGGGTCGCCTCTCCCCTGAGGCGCGGGGTTTCCCCTCCCCGGAGGCCAGGGAGTGGCAGGATCCCTCCAGAGTGGCCCGTTCCTTGAGCCGGGGCCGTGGGCATCTTTGTTCTAGGCTGTGTTTCCAGATGCTGAAGCGATGGACAGTGGCCCGCAGCCCTCACCAGCCCTGGGCGGGCCGGAGACTGGGCCCGGACACAGAGCCGTGTCAGAGGAGGGTTTTCCGCAGCTCAGTCCCCAGGAGCAGAAGCCTCCGGCAGGACCAGGGTGAGCTGGGGGCTTCCCAGAGAGCAGGTCCAGGAGAGAAGCCCCCTGTGGCCCACCCGGTGGGGAGGGAGAGGGGCGGGAACCCCAGACTAAGGTGGGTCTGCCCACTCACCCCTCCTGTACTTTTTTTCATAGTGCGACTCACACTGAATAATTATGTCTGCCGGTCTTTTGTCTGAGCTCCCCAACTAGGCCACAAGTTTCTGTGACGCGTCGTGTTCAAGGGGCATTTATGTGTCTTGTTTAACCTCAAAAAATCCCTCAGGGAATACGTATTGCCCCTGTAGTATATGCTTCAGACTGTGTTTAAAAAACTGCTTTTAACCTGATGTATTTCTAGAAATATGCCCTAAGGAAAGAAGTGAAGATTCAGGCAAAGTTTTATGTGCAAAGATTTCTCCTGGCACCTTATTTTAAAGGCTAAAAAAATTTAAAATGTCAGTGTGCGCTGTTGTTGTTTAGTCACTCATTCCTGTCTGACCCTTTGTGACCCCACACACTGTAGCTTGGCAGGCTCCTTTGTCCATGGAATTCTCCAGGCAAGAATATTGGAGTGGTTTGCTGTTGCCTTCTCCAGGGAATCTTCCCAACCCAGGAATAGAACCTGCACTGGCAGGCGGATTCTGCCGCTGGGCCACCAGGGAAATCCCCAGTGTGTGCTAAATGCCCACAATAGGGGGATGGTTAAGTAAATTATGATTATCTATAAAATAGAGAATTTTATGCTTTCATTAAAAAACGTGTTTATGAAAGATTTTGGGCATGGGAAAAATTTAGATTATACTGTTAATTGAAAAAATTGTATTTGCAATATAACTTTATGCAATTATTTGAAGGTGATATTTAAACTAATCCCCATCAAAAATATGTATGTATGTCCTTAAGGAAGAAACCTGGAGGAAATAAATACTCCTTAATATTATAGTGAGATCAGGGCGACACAGATTCAAATCCAGACCTGTCAACTTTAGCTTAATGATCCAAGGCTTAAGTCTGCCCACCACTATGAATTCCAGTTCTCCTTGATTTTTCTTTTTTTCTAAAAAGCAATAAGTAATAATGAAAATATTAAATCCTAATCCTCTTAAACATTGACATCAAAGTGTTTGTGGTTGGAGGAATTCATGTTAGTCCTTCATTCTTTCTCCCGGGCATTAAGCATGCACCTATGGTGTGCCTAGCCCTGTGTGGGTACCACAAAGAGGTATAAGAATATAAAAGCCTGCCTCAGTTTGGGAGCTGAAGTATCCCTTTGTCTGTTCTCTCCAGGATGAAGGTGCCATCTTGGGTCCCCCAGGAAGGGCCCAGGGAGCTGCAAGCAGACCGGGATCCGCCCACGCCAGGAGGTGAGCTGGGGGTGCCCCCCAACAGGGCCCCTGCGACACAGGAAGGGCTGCTGCAGCAGGGCTCAGGAAGAGAGACTGAGGGCCAACAGGGAAGCCAGCGGAGCCCAGGGCCCGTGGAGGGCCAGGGCCCTGAGAGTCACCAGGTAATGTCCACAGAATCCCAGGCAGGAGGGGATGGAATTGCTGACCCGCAGGGGAGGTGAGGGAGCAGGGAATTGTTAGAGGCAGGGAGGAGATGGGGCTTCTGGGTAAAATTGAAAACGGGACATGCTGGGTTTAACAAAGCCCAATTTTTTTTTTTTTCTTATGCTAGAATGTTCTAGCAGCTGTTTTTTAGCTGCTGAGCTCTGTGGGACCCTTCAAGAGGTGGTTACAGTATGGCACCTTTCCCAAACGTATTTGACTATAAAATATCTTATTTTTTATTTTAAGGTTTATGGATTTTTTTTTTTTTAAACAGCTTCATAAGGTACAATTGATACACAGTTGTGCATGCTTCAAGTGTACGATTTATTGTTCTGGATACATGTGTATACCCACAAAACCATCACTGCAATCAATAAAATAAATATATCTGTCATCCCCCCCCAAAAAAAAAGTTTTCTGTGCCCCTTTGTCATCGCTTCTCCCATTCATTCCAAGCCCCAGGCAACCACTGATCTGTGTTCTGCAGCTGTGAATTTGTATTTTCCAGAATTTTCCATAAAAGGAAGCGTAAGTACCCATTCTTTTTGTCTTGCTTCTTTCACTTAGCATGAATATTTTGAGATTCAGCTATATTATTGTGTAGATCAATACTTTATTCTTTTTGCTGCTGAGTATTATTCCATTGTATGGATAGGTCACAATTTCTTGTCCTACTTTATAGCACAGGGAACTATGTTCAATATCTTGTGATAAACCACAATGGAAAAGAATATGAAAAAGTGTGTTTATATATATATATAATTGAATCACTTTGCTGTTCTGTGGAAATTAACAAATAAAACCTGATTTCTTCATTCTTTCACCTATTGATGGACACTTGGTTTGTTTCAACTTTTCGACTATTACAAATAAGACTTATAGAAACATTCATGTCTGTGTGTACAGATACTTTCATTTCTTTTGGGCAAATAAATGCCTAGGAGTACAATGAATCATATGGTATCTGTATGTTTAATTTATTAAGAAACTGCCAAACTTTTCTCCAAAGTGGTTGTACCATTTTACATCCCCATCAGCAATGTATGAGAATTCCACTTGTTCCATATCTTCCCCCAAACTTGGTATGGTCTGTTTTTAATGTTTAATGTTTTTACTAAGCATTCTAGTAAGTGTGTAGTGGAATCTCATTGTGGTCTTTATTTTCTTTTCCAAATGACTAAACATGTCAAGCATCTTTTCATGTGTTTATAGGCACATATTATGTATCTTTGGAGAAATGTCTATTCAAATACTTTGTGCATCATTTTAATTGAATAGTCAACTGTCTTTTCCATTCTCTCAATGGTGACTTTCAGAGAACCAAAGTCTTAATTTTGATAAAGTCTATTTGATCATTTTTTTCTTTATGGCTGTGCTTTTGGTGTTATTTCTTAGAAATCTTTACTTAACCTGAAGTCACGTAGGATTTTATCCTGTGTTTTCCCCAGGAAGTTTTATTATTTTAGGTTTAACACTTAGGTTTATGATCCAGCTTGAGTTAATTTCTGTATGTGGTCTGAGTGTTGGATTGAGGCTCATTTCTTGCATATGGCTGTCCAGTCATCCCAGCACTGTTTGTTGGAGACTCTCCTTTCTCCTGAGCTTCCCTGGTGGCTCAGATGGTAAAGAATCTGCCTGCAATACAGGAGACCTGGGTTTGATCCCTGGGTTGGGAAGATCCCCTGGAGAAGAGAAAGGCTACCCATCCCAGTATTCTGGCCTGGAGAATTCCATGGATTGTATAGTCAATGGGGACACAAAGAGTCGGACACGACTGAGCGACTTTCACTTTGATTTTCCCCAACCAGGGATTGAGCCCATGCCCCTTGCAGTGGAAGCATGGAGTCTTAACCCCTGGACCACCAGGGAAGTCCCACACATTGTCTTGACTATAGCAACTTATTAAAGTCTTGAAGTCAGTTAATGTAAAAATCTCCTTTGTGGGGAGTACCATGAAGGATTCTTGTTCATTGAAACACCCCTTGAGAAATCCGATTTAAAGAGGATTGTGTCAGACACTCCCCTGGTGGTCCGGGGGTTAAGACTCTGCACTTCCATTGCAGGGGGTATGGGTTAGATTCCTGGTCTGGGAACTAAGATCTCACATGCCATGCAGTGTGGCAAATAAATAAATAAAATGAAAAGAGGATCGCCTCACTTTCCCCAGGCTCCCATTCCACATGCACAGAGAAGCGTGGATTATGACTTTGGGTAAGCCATGCCTCCTCTGGACCTTGGTTTCCTCATCCCTCGTGATGGCGTAATTGACCCCTGCTTAGGGAACCTTCTAGGTGAGCTGGGGGAGTTCAGTAAGGTGACCCTTGCAGTGCTTGGACCAGAGTAACTGTTTGTCAGCTGGTCTCTGGGTGAGTGTTGGGGGCCACCTGAGAGCCGGGATGGGGCTCCCCATCTTGATGTCTTTGCTCTTGGCAGGACCCAGAGGGTCAGCCCATCCCAGGTCACCTGGCAGCCAATGAGTCAGACACAGTGCAGCCGACAGAGCCTTATTGCACCTTGGACAACTCTGAACAGCAACTGAGGGACAAGCTCCCCAAGGAGGTGGACACCCCACCCATCGGGCCACAGGGGGCTCTGCCAGAGCCTGGCCCAGGGGGACATGAGGACCGTTCCCAGGAAGTAGAGTCCTTAATGCCTACGGCAACTCTGGAGGGAAAGACAGCTCACACTGCCCCACCACCCACGCCACCACCCGACACACCCAAAGCAAGGTAAGGCACCCCACCCCTCCCTGACCCCAACAAGACTGCTCTTCTGCTAGTTCCAGAGGAGGTGACTTCTAGTCCTGACAGCTCTTGATGCGATGTAAGACCTTGGTCAAACCGTGCCCCCCGAACCCCCGTTTCCCCATCTATATAGTAGCTCTAGTACATAATTCTTTACCCCATGGACCATTCTTCACCGGCCAAGTCCCCACAAGGGATGTGGAAGAATGAGGAGCCCCTTTGAGAGCAGAAGCCCAGGAGGTGAAACTGCGGCGGTGCATCTGAGTGTCCTGGAGCTGAGAGAAGGCCTTGCCAGGGCGAGCCTTGAGCTGCAACCCCCCTCACCTAGGGGTTCTCCCTTGTTTAGAGACGAGGCTGTGGAGATCCAGCCAGCACCGGGGCCTGCTCATCTACCTGTAAGTAGAACCACAGTGGGGAAGGGAACAGGGCTGGGGGAGATCAGGACAAAAACGAAAGAGGCAGAAATGGGGCAGTATTCACAGTCAAAGTGGGGAAGGTGTGCGTCTGTGCCTGCGTGTTTCCATGGGTGTGCACACGTGTGTGTTCACACATGTGCATGTGTGTGCCCACATGTGTGCGTCTTGGTTGCGGGTCAAGGCTGCTCTTACACTCTGGAGCCCGCAAATTCACCCCAGGCCACAGTGGTTTTTTCCACATTGGCACGGATTTCTGCCGGCCAGCTGATCAGTCACAGCACACAACCCAAAGCTTCCCTGAATGCCTGGGAGACTCCCATCCCCTCCCAGTCATCCCCCCCTCCAACAGCTCTCTCAGTTCCTAGTTCTTTAATTTGATTGGGCAACCTGTGAACACTCAGTCATCATCTGCCTGGTGGAAAGGTAGGTTGGAGAAAGAGGAATCAAAAGAGCTTTTAGGAAGTATAATTTATAAAAATATTGAACCACTATGTTGTACACTTGAAACTAATACCGTAAATTGACTTTGAAAGTGAAAGTGTTAGTCACTCCGTTGTGTACGACTCTTTGTAACCCTTGACTGTAGGCTGTCAGGCTCTTCTGTCCATGAAATTCTCCAGGCTAGAATCCTGGAGTGGATTCCCTTCTTCAGGGGATATTCCTGACCCAGGAATCGAACCTGAGTCTCCTGCCTTGCAGGCAGATTCTTTACGATCTAAGCCCTTTAAGAGAGGCTTTCAGCCTGGGGCCCAAGTGACACTAGTGAAGGAGAAGACAGAAAGAACTTGAGGCTCTGCTTTGGTCATGTTCTGGACAAACAGGAAGAAATACCAGGCGTATGTCTGGAGTTAGGAAGGAAAGAGAGGTCAGGATGCGAGATGTAAATATGAGGAAAACGGGGCTACACACTAGGAGAGTGTACGGAGCAGGAAGGCATCTGAGGACAGACCTCTGGTCTCCACCACATTCAGAAATGGAGGGACTTCTCTCGTGTTCCAGTAGTTAAGATTCTGTGCTTCCGACGCAGGGCACATGGGTTCAATCTCTGGTCGGGGAAGTGTTCCGCATGCCATGTGGCACGGTCCCCCAAAAGAAAACAAACACAAACAAAACCAACAGAAATGGATCGAGAGTGAGGAAGAGTCAGTGAAGGAGGCTGCGGAACACTCAGGGAGGGAGCCAGCCTTGAGGGGGGTGGGGGTCCGGAGAGGAAAGCCCTCCCAGAGGGACAGAGTGCGCATGCGTGTCTAGCATCGCTGAGGGCTCGGCTCTGAGGAGAGAGAGCTGATCACCGTCCTGCAGGAGTCTGGCTGGGGAGCAGGGCCAGACGCCAGCCTGGAGATGGGAGGAAAGCAGACACAGGCGCAGCCAATCTTTCAGGGCATTCTGCTGTAAAGGAAGGGTACTGAAAGGCTTTGCAGTGTGGGGGTTTTTCCTGTCTGTCTCTTGGCTGCAGCGCATGGACTAGTCCAGGTGCAGAGCACAGGCCGAGGGAACACAGAGCCGCCTGGGCTGTGCAGTCGTGTCCACGGGCTCAGCTGTCCCACAGCATGTGGGGTCTCAGTTCCCCAGCCAGGAACTGAACCTGTGCTCCCTGTATTGGAAGGCAGATTCTTTTTTTATTTATTTTTTATTGGAAAGCAGATTCCTAACCACTGGACCACCAAGGAAGCCCTGAGAGTTTTTCTTTTAAAGAAGGAAGATAAGGGACTCTCTGGTCCTGTGGTTAAGACACCAGGCTCCTCATGCAGGGGACACAGGTTCAATCCTTAGTCGGGAGCTCAGATCCCACATGCCACATGGCACAGCTTAAAACCTTAAAGTAATAATAATTAGAAATTTTTAAATTAAAGAAGGAAAATAACATAGCGTGTTTACATGCTAACGGGCGTAATCTGGCAGAGAGGGCAGTGCTGATACTTTAGGTCAAGCAGGTGTTGGTAACAGCTCCATCTTTGAACAGAAGAAAGGGCTGGGCTGGAGCCTGCGTGGGGCGGCCTGGGCGGAGGTGGGCAGGGGGACAGCTCACCCCTCTCTGGGAGAGACAGAGGTAGGAGGTGCTAGATTTGCTGAAAACATGGATGGGAATCGACTGAGGCCTGCCAAGTGGGAGTAGGCAGCTGTATTGATAAGATCAAAGAGGCAGGTACGGTCCTGCCCTCAGGGAGCATGCTTCCAGGGAGGGCAAGCTGTGAGCTGGACAGGCTGCGCTATGTGCACAGGAGGAAAGAAACAGGGATGAATTGGGGAGTTGCTCACTCAAGAGCACGACTCGGAGAGCTGAGAGGGGGCCCAGGTCGGGTGTCGAGGAGGACGTGGGGAAGGGGTCTAGAGGATGCCGGAGAGAAACGGGCTCCCAGGGACCCAGAGGAGAAGGAGAGTCTGAGGCCCTGGGGCGGGTGGTGGCGAGCAACTCACGGGACCGTCCGGCTGGCCGGAGGCCTCCCGCATCGCTTGCCTGTCCCGTCCCCAGGAGGTGGTGGACACGGGAGCGAGGGAGCTGGACCCCACGCAGAAGCAGTTTCAGGAGCCCGCGGCGGCCCCAGGCGCCCAGGACCCCGGCTTCGCCCGGCCTGGCTTCATGAGGCGCCTGCTGGAGGTGGAGGAGGAGGAGGCCGCGCTTCGGAGGGCCGCCAAGGCCCGCGCCCTGCCAGGCCGGAGGTGCCCCCGGGCCCTGGGCCCCGTGCCCGCCCCCGCCCTCAGCCTGCCTCTGACACTGCCTGCAGCCTCGGCCCCGGCCCCTGCCTCCACCCCGGCTTGGGCCAGGCCGCCCGCCCCTGCGCCAGTCCCCGCCCCCGCGGGGACCCCGGGCCCAGCTCCTGGGCCCGCTGCAGTCCTGCCGGTGCCCGCGTCGGATCTGGCCTGGAGAAGGACAGAACTTCTGAGTCACAGCGGGGAGAGGAGCCTGAAGGCACGGTAGGAGCCACCCCAGAAAGTGTCGGGATCTGAGCGCGGCCCCAGGGCCCCCGCATGCCCTCCAGACTCTCGTCCAGGCGTCGCGCCCGTCTGCCCCTCCTGTGTCCCCTCCACGTGCCCTGCCTCTCCCGGCTCTCTGTCTCTCACACTGAAGCCCCTTCCTCATCGCCAACCCTGCTTCTCTTTCTAGCCCGTCTAGACGCCCCTCACCTCTGCCTCGCTCCCGCGGGCCACTCACAGACTCCTGTGACCTCCCAAAGCCTCCCCAGGGCCCCCCCTATGACCCCCTGCGCCGGCTGCGCCCCGGCCCCACCAGCGCCCGGAGTGCGGGGCGGGGTGGGCGGCCGGACGTGCCCTGCGCCCGGCCTTGTCTTCTGCAGGCAGGAGCTGGAGGAGCGCCACCTCCTGACCGCGCGTCAGACCCGGGAAGAGCGGGTGGAGGAGCACCTCACCACGAAGCAGGAGGACGGTGAGGGCGGGCCGTGCGGGTGCGGCGGGCGGGCGGGCCGGCGGATCACGCCGCTGCCCTGGGCCGTCCCAGCCTGCGCTGGGCTGGCCGCGCGGCGCAGGGCAGGAGGCTGACCTGAGCCCTCTTCCCTCTTCCCGAGTTGCCTCTGAACAAACGGAGCAACTTGTTTTTGGAGGTGTTTCTGCCTCCTCCAGCACAAGCCCACTGTAGGTCACCTGGAGAGGCCACCAGGGCTGGAGGCAAGATTCCAGCGCCCCCTCCTCTGCTAGACCACCCCTCACCCTTTAACAGGACCGCCTGCCCTGAACACCTTCCTGACCAACATTTGGTCTGCGCATGCGCTGGACAGCCCAGCTACTGACACTGGGCTGCTGTCGAGGAAAGAAGTGTTTACTGCAGGCGCCAAGCTAGGAGTCCAGGCAGCTTAAAAGGCCCCAATTCCTACGGCTTTCGGGAAAGCTGTTTGAGGACAGAGTGAGGGAGCGGGTCCCAGGGTTCCTCATCAGTTCGTGGGCCTTCTTCTGATTGGCTGCTGGTGAGGTCACTGGGCGTCAACATCATCCACCTCGTTCCAACCAGCTTGTGGTTGCAGTGCTTGTGGGCAGCTTATGGTTAACTTCTTCCACTTGGTGGGGGTGTCAGTATCTGCAAAACGGCTCAGAGGACAGGCTCAGATTACCTACAGTCCTTGTAGTGTAGTAGTGTTGGTCGCTCAGTCGTGTCCAACTCTTTGTGACTCCACGGACTGTAGCCTGTCAGGCTCCTCTGTCCATGAGATTCTCCAGGCAAGAATTCTGGAGTGGGTTGCCATTCCCTTCTCCAGAGGATCTTCCTGACCCAGGGATCAAAGCCATGTCTCCTGTGTTGCAGGTAGATTCTTTACCGTTTGAGCTACAGGGAAGACCCTTTAGTCCTTGAGGAGGAACTGAAGTTCATTGACCTTATATGTCTAAACTAGTATTATTTGGTCTTGTTGGACTGTTTTCCCTTCCTGCATTTGCTTCCTTCTCTGACTGAATCCATTCTTTGGGACTCGGGAAGGCATAAGAGGCTAAAAGTCTACAAACAGGAGGCAGACAGAGGACGCAGTGCGGAGGGGTCTGTCCCAGAAGAGTCCCTAGGGTCCTGCTACACACAGCTCCCCACTCGTCCACCACATCCCGCCTCCACCAAGAAAATTAAAAGCCTGAACACCCGCCTTGGGCGAGGCGCCCTTTGCTCCCCAGTGTCCTTAGCTCGGGCCCCGTGACTCCACGTACCTGTGCTATGAGATGAGCAACTGCGCGTCCTCTGGTCTCTGTGAGTGGCCTAAGCCTCTGTGCACACCTGTAAGCCGGCCGGCTGGCCCTGGCCTTGGATGGAGGGTGCGTGCCCTCCTTTCACCCTGCACTCCTCCTCACAGTCTGAGCCCCAGGCAGGGCCGGGGGCCCCTTCTGCCTTCCCTGAATATACTCTTTGGCTCCCTAGGGCCGGATCCTTAAAGTTCACTCTTTTTCAAAAAATGTTTTTCATTTGGCTCTGTTGGCTCTTAGCTGCAGCACACAGGATCTCTTGCACCAGACGGGATCTTTCGTTTCAGTGCACGGACTCGAGTTCTGGGGCGAGGACTCCGGAATACGTGAGCTTGAGTAGTTGAGTGTGTGCACTTGGCTGTGCCCTGGCATTTGGAATCTTAGTTCCCTGACCCGGGATCAGACTCACACCCTCTGCATTGCCAGGTGGATTCTTAACCACTGGGCCCCCAGGGAGGTCCCTCGCTCCTTTCAGCTTTAAAGCTCTTTATCCTTTCTGGAGGGCTTTTCTAAATCCAGCACTCATTGCCCCACCTCCTTGAGCCAAGTTCACAGACAGCATGACACGCTGGCATAGAGACCCAGCATCCTCCCAGGACTCTCAGCCCTGCCTGGCGAGGAAAGAGCCAGTTACCTGCCCTGATGGTCCAACCACCCTACATTTGAGATGATCTTAAATGAAGGCTGTTTTGTTTATCTCCTTTTTCAGCCTGCCTGCCTGTGGCAGCTCACCACTTACTCCAACCCTAAGCCCAGCCCTACCTCTTCCCCACATTTCAGTTCTGTGTGTCAGAGGCTTACAAGGTCTATGATGTCCCAAGTGCTGAATTAATACAACCTCTCTGAGACGGCGTCTTATTGTTCTGTCTCTCTGTTGTTCAGTCGCCAAGTCATGTCCAACCCTGCGACCCCATGTATTGCTGCACGCCAGGCTTCCCTGTACATCATAACTCCTGCAGTTTACTCAAACTCATGTCCGTTGAGTCAGTGAGCAATCCAAACATCATCTTATCCTTTGTTGTCCCCTTCTCCTCCTGCCTTCAATCTTTTCCAGCATCAGGGTCTTTTCTAATGAGTCAGCTCTTCGAATCAAGTGGCCAAAGTATTGGAGCTTCAGCTTCAGCCTCAGTCTTTCCAGTGAATATTCAGGGGTGATTTCCTTTAGGATAGACTGCTTTGCTCTCCTTGCAGTCAAAGGGACACTCAAGAGTTTTCTCCAGCACCACAGTTTGAAAGCCTCGATTCTTTGGCGCTCAGCCTTCTTTATGGTTCAACTATCACATTCGTACATGACTATCACAAAAACCATAGCAGTGACTATTACGGACCTTTGTTGGCAAAGTGACATTTCTGCTTTTTAATATGCTGTCTAGGTTTGTCATAGCTTTTCTTCCAAGGAGCAAGCGTCTTTTAATTTCATGGCTGCAGTCACCATCTGCAGTGATTTTGGAGCCCAAGAAAAGAAAATCTGCCGCTGTTTCCACTTTTGTTCATCTATTTGCCATGAAGTGATGGGACCAGGTGCCATGATCTTAATTTTTTGAATGTTGAGTTTTAAGCCAGCTTTTTCACTCTCCTCTTTCACTCTCATCAAGAGGTTCTTTAGTTCCTCTTCACTTGCTGCCATTAAAGTAGTATCATCTACCTATCTGAGGTTGTTAATATTTCTCTCAGCAGTCTTGATTCCAGCTTGTGATTCATCCAGCTCAACATTTTGCATGATGTACTCTGCCTACAAGTTTAATAAGCAGGGTGACAATACACACCTTCACCTTGCACCAGGAACACCACCAATTTAAGGCACCCCTGCTGTGCCAGGCACTATGCTAAGTTCTTTAAAGCCAAGTTCTCATGTCATTCTTAAAACAGCCTTGACATACTCCTTTCCCAATTTTGAACCAGTCTGTTGTTCCATGTTCAACACTATCTGCCCATCTTATAGATAAGAAAATTGGGGGTCATAGAAGTGCTGTGACTTGCCTACTGCAACTATATTAGTTTGCTTGGGCTGACATAAGGAAGTACCATCAACTGGGTGGCTTAAAAGTTACTTTCCCATAGTTCTGGAGTCTAGAAGTCCCAGACTGGGGTGTTGGTATGTTTGGTTTCTTCCTTTTCTCTTTTTTGGTTTGGTCTCTCCTGGAGCCTCCCTCCTCGCTTGCAGGTGGCTGCCTTCTCCTGAGTTGCGCCTTTCCTGTGTGTGTGTGCATCCCTGGTGTCTCTTGTGTGTCCAAATTTCCTCTTCTCTTAAGGACACCACTTAGGTTGGATTAATGGGCTCATTTTAACATAATCACCTTTTTAAAGGCATTATCTCCAAATACAGTCACATTCTAAGACAAGTGGGGGTGGGCAGGGCGGGTGTCAAGGCTTGAATATATGAATGTAGGCAGAGAGCACAGTGTAGCATGTGTAACAGCAACCCTGATTCTCAGCAGATGGTGGAGCCCGTCTCATCACCAGGCCTGTTGATTCTCACCTGGATTGTGCTGTGAGCTGTGAAACCAGCCCCACCCTTGTTAGGACCAGGACATAACTTTTCTATCAGTCGACGCTGCTCTGGGACTTGAGAGAGTCCTGGAACTGAGAAACATCCTTCTGGGTCCTCTGCTCTGGTCCAGACAAATGAAGTTATCTTTGAGGCTGCGCTTAGTTGCTCGGTCCTGTCCAACTCTTGGTGACCCCATGGACTGTAGCCCACCCGGCTCCTCTGTCCATGGGGATTCTCCGAGCAAGGATGCTGGAGTGGGTTGCCATGCCCTCCTCCAGGGGATCTTCCCAACCAAGGGATTAAACCCAGGTTTCCCACATTGCAGGTGGATTCTTTACCATCTGAGCCACCAGGGAAGCCCATCTTAGAAGCTATGTCCATCCAGATAAGTAACGGTTATTGCCAGTTGCTAAGCTGTGTCCAACTTTTTGTGACCTCATGGACTGCAACACGCGTCTTCCTTGTCCTTCACTATCTCCTAAAGTTTGCTCAGATTCATGTCCATTGAGTTGATGCCATCTAACCATCTCATCAGCTTCCACCCTCTTCTTTTGCTTTCAATGTTTCCCACATCAGGGTCATTTCCAATGAGTTGGCTCTTTGCATCAGGTGGCCCAAGTACTGGAACTTCAGCTTAGATATGTAACTGCAGAGCCCCAAAGCCAAGGCACAGACTCAGAGTCAAAAAGATCTGTCTGGTGCTGTAACCTCTGAGCCTCAGTTTCCCCATTGGTACAAGGAAATAGCATTCTACTATTAAGAGTTTGTTGTAAGAATTACGTGAGAACCTGGCTGTGAAGAACTTAGCATAGTGCCTGGCACACGGCAGGGGTGCCCTGAGTGGGCGTGCTCCTGGTGCCGGGGAAGACGCCTGCTGCGCCCTTGGTCTGACCTTGTACTAGAGAGTGAGGTGCGTCTGCAGACCCTGCTCCTCCACGTTTCACCCTTGTGGTTAACTCATCTCTCCACTTAGCCATGAGGTAGAGGAGACTTGCCCAGGCGTGCGTTGAGAGGACGGGTTGCATGTTAGAGACAGGAAATGACCACACCCCACCCACCCCAGCCTTCCACAGCTACTTTGAGATCTTCAACGGTCATGGCGAGGTGGACGTGCAGAGCCTGGAGAACATCCTGCTTCTTGTGGGCATCTCCCTGACGCCGGCCCAGGTGGAGGGTGCCCTGAGGAGCGCTGACATCGACGGTGAGTGCGGGGAGGCTTCGTCCTGAGCCCTGGCAGGATCAGGCTTGCCGGCAGCGTGAGACCTGTGCAGTCACACAGGGCTCTGTGACAGGGTCTTGACTTTGGTTCACCGCTTTGCTGTTGCGATCTAGAAATTCTTGATAATTTTTGAACGAGGGGCCCTGTTCAGCATTTCTTTTTTTTTTTTTGGTTGCACTGGACCCTCATTCTCTAGTCACTGTGCTTGTGGGCTTCTCTTGTTGTGGAGCATGGGCTTAGTTGCCCTGCCGTGTGTGGGATCCTAGGTCTCCGACCAGGGATGGAACCTGAGGCTCCTGCATTAGAAGGCGGGTTCTTAACCACTGGACCACCAGGAAAGTGCTACAGTTTCATTTTGCTCTGGGCCAATGCAGATAATACAGCTTGTTCTGGCTCCCAAAGTTAGTGATTCCTGAGGACCTACTCAGTGCCAGGTTCTGGGGACCCAGAGATGACCAAGACCTAGTTCCTGACCCTAACATGTAGGTTATCTCTTGAGAACATTCCTCCAGGACATTACCTGTGCTCCATCCGACATTCCTCCGTGACCTGGTCCCTCGTTTTACCAGCTGTATGACCTGGGACAGGTCACTGAAGTTCATCACATCTCAGTTTCCCCGCCTGTAAAATTGGGCTCACAGCAGTTACCCATCTCACTGAGCTGCTGAAAAGATCGAATGAGGTAATCCAGGCAAAGCACTGAGCACAACGTGTAGTGCATAGGCTGCATCCAGGAGATGCTAGCTGCTGCTCTCATCTGTTCTCTAAATATGTTTTAGCTGCCTGCAGTGTGCCTGTTCCTGCGCTGGGCACTGGAATAAAGGGATGTGTGAGACCTCTGAGATCTGCCCTCGAGATGCTCTCACAGTCAATGACACAGAAGGAACAGTTACCAAAGGCAGCAGTGCTTAAGGTGGCTTGGAGGAAGGGATGAGGGAGGAAGGCTTCCTGGAGGAGGTGATGCCTGAGCCAAATGGTGAAAGATTAAGCAGGAGTTAGGCAGGAAGAGAAGGAGGAAGAAGGGCATTCCTGGTGGCAGAAATAGCTTCCACACCGGGCATAGGGCACAGAGTGAGGAGCACTGTCCCATCATGTGGTGTGGTTGACTAGATGCAGGGAATGCAGCAGAGCGGTGGGGGCCTGGGCTCCTGACCCGAGTGTCAGCTCTGCTTCCTGCATCACTGTGGGAGGGTGAGTCCTCACTCAAGCTAGGCTAGGCACTGGCCTCAGTTTGGCCCTTGGGTTATCCCAGGTAATAGCCTGTTTTTGTCTGTGCCCCGGGCCTCATCTATGACAGGGGATTAGAATATTAGTGCCTGCTGCTCCCTGCCCCCCACCCTGAGGATGACTTTAAGGATTAGGGACCATTCATTAATTTTTCAAGTAGTTGAAAGAACTGGCATCTGGTCCCATCTCTTCATGGCAAATAGAAGAGGGAAAAGTGGAAAGCAGTGACGGATTTTATTTTCTTGGGCTCCAAAATCACTGTGGATGGTGACTGCGGCCATGAGATTAAAAGATGCTTGCCCCTTTAAAAGAAGGAAAGCTCTGACAAACCTAGACAGCATATTAAAAAGCAGAGACATTGCTTTGCCAACAAAGGTCCATATAGTCAAAGCTGTGGTTTTTCCAGTAGTCATGTATGGATGTGAGAGTTGGACCACAGAGAAAGCTGAGCGCCAAAGAATTGATGCTTTTGAACTGTGGTGTTGGAGAAGACTCTTGAGAGTCCCTTGGACTGCAAAGAGATTAAACCAGTCCATCCTAAAGGAAATCAACCCTGGATATTCCTTGGAAGGACTGATGCTGAAGCTGAAGCTCCAATACTTTGGCCACCTGATGTGAAGAGCCGACTCTTTGGAAAAGACCCTGATACTGGGAAAGGTAGAAGGCAGGAGGAGAAGGGGACAACAGAGGATGAGATGGTTGGATGGCATCACTGACTCAGTGGACCTAAATTTGAGTAAATTTCAGGATCTAGTGAAGGACAAGGGAGACTCGTGTGCTGCAGTCCATGGGGTCACAAAGGGCTGGACACACCTTAGCAACTGAACGGTAATAACAAAGTTGAGAGAGCATTTCCCAAGCACCTCCTGGTTTTAAGTCCTGAGGATACAATACAGGATAAAACATCCAGTCCCTGCCTACCAGAGCTTCCGTCAAACCCCAAGTCTTGTGAGTGTGTGGTTGAAATACAAGTGTTTTATGAGAATGTTCAACTGGGAGTCTGACCTACACTGGTCTGACTTCCCTCAGGAAGTGGTGGTCAAAGGAAGCATTAAGGGAAAGAGCTGGAGGGAATTCCCTGGTGGTCCGGTGGTGAGGACTTGGCACTTTTACTGCTGGGGTCGGAGTTCAATCTGTGGGTGCAAAACTAAGATCCTGCAAGCTGCATCGCATGGCCACAAGAAACAAAAACAAATAAGAAATGAAGAGTTAGCGTGTGGTGGAGAGAATTCTGAGATGAGGAGGCAGCGCATACAGAGGTGTGTATAGAGGCCCGGAGCAGGGGAAGAGGGGACCCAGTGGGAGCAGGTTGATGCTGAGGGAGTTCAGTACCTGGCGAGGCTGCAGGCAGCTGGCAGGCAGGTCCAGCAGACCTTTGAAGGCCCAGGTGGGAGCGCTGTAGGTAAAGATGTGTGCTCATGCAAGACTCACACGCTGTAATGAGCATTGCCAACATTTGTTGAGCATGTGTTTGTGTGCATGGCCCTATTCTAAGTGCATTGCCTCCATTTCTCTCCCTTGAGAAAGGCGTTATGGTCATCCTCACCCTATTAGACAAGAAAACTAAGGCTTAGTTGGGCTAAGACACTTGGCCAGGGTCACAGAGATAGTGAATGACATGAGCCCAAACTGCTGCTTCTAGAACCTTCTGGGAGCCTCTAACCCAGGAGATTTTAATTTTTTTCCTTCTACTTTCCTATGTGTCCCGCACTTTCTACATCCACTATGTGTTACTTTTATAATCAAATCCAACAAGTAAATGCTAATAGCCATGCCTGGGTTGCAGTGTCCGAGCCTTCTCTGGAAGTCCCCTGCCCACTCTGTATTCTTCTGGCCTCCACAGGAGATGGTCGTGTGAACTTCAAAGACTTCTTGACCGTGATGACAGACACCAGGCGCTTCTTCTGCTCTGTGGGTGAGCAGCGGTGAGCCCAGGGCACTCAGAACGAGGGCGCGGGCGGGGCATCCCGGGGTGTCAGATGGTAACAGCAGCCACCATCCCATGTCCCCAGAACAGAACACCCTGATGGACATGGCTCCTCCAAACCCCCATACTCTGTTCTTTGAGATCCTGTCCCTGCTGGTTGAGATGCTGGCCTTACCCGAGGGAGCCTTGGAGGAGATCACCAGGTGAGTAGGTCTGGTCGTTGTGGCTGGAGGGTTGTGGACACAGAAACAGCACCTAGTCTTTCGGCGGAGGAGGATTTTGGATAGTTAGGACTCTTAGTTGCAAGTGAAACACACATAAAATTGGCTTATGCAAAAGGGGAATGTATCGGCTCACATCACTGCTCAGGGCTTCAGGACACCAGCTGATACCATTCAGGCTTTATTTCTCCTGCTCATCTCCGCATTGGCTTCAAGCTCAGCTGGGCTCTTCCCACAGTGAGAAGGATGGCAACTGGTGGCGCTTACTCATGCCCTCCTTGTTTTGCAACCTCGGCAGCAAGAGGAATGGAATACCTTCTTGCAGAACGCATATAGCAGTCCCAGAAAGAAAGTGTGACAGAGCCTGTTTGGGCTGGACAACAAGAGAGGGGAGACGCCCCACATTTCCAGAATGGGCTGGTGGGCGGTCCTTCTCATCTAAGAAAGAGATGGCTGTGTGCAAAAATGACATGAATACTGAGGGCTAGAAGCAAAGGGTCACTCTTACAGCACACAGAGGCTCGTCTCTGTTGTTCAGAAAGCTGGATCATTTTTTTCCTACCACAGACCAGGCCTTTTCCAAAGAAGCCAGAAGAGGGGGAATGATTACATGTGTTTCAGCAACACCAACTTAGCAAACCCCAGAGACAAGAGATCTGTCTTCCTCCTAGCATCTCTAAATTGCTAAACATATACAGCCCTGAAGATGGCAAATGTATAATTTTAAAAGCAATAAAACAAATTGCCATGTATCCATTTCTTCTGTTTAGAAACAGATAATTTCCAATCATCTTGAAGCCCCTGAGTGCCCTACCCTAACCACAGAGTACTTTCTCATAACAAGAACCAACCCTTATCATTTGCTTTTTGTTTTAAAATCTCCCTGCTTATTTTTCCCCATGTGTCATTCATTGAAAATTTCAAATGTATGGTAAAATTAAAAGAATTTTACAGTAAACAGTTATATGCCCACCACCTAGATTCTACTGTTGCCATTTTGCCATTCTTTTACCTATCCATCGCTCTATTCTTCAATCTGTAGTATTTTTTATTCATTTTATAGTAGATTGTAGTCATTTCCCTCTAAATATGTCAGTATTTTGGGCTGGGCAAAAAGTTTGTTTGGGTTTTTCATAACATCTTAATGAAAAACTTGAACGTACTTTTTGACTAACCCAATACACATCTTGAGCTAATGATCAATATTTGTATAGAACTTCCGTACCCCCATCTTTTGAGATTCATATAATGTACATTTGGTGAAATGCACAGATCTTAAGTGTATCATTTAGTGAGTCTCAACAAATTCCCACACCCCAGCAACCTGAGCCCCTGTCAAGTTATACAGAATTTTACTATCATTCCAGAAAGTGCCCTCATGACCCTTCCCAGCTGCTCCCTGAAACGACACTTCTTTTAATTTTTTTTCCATCACAGATTGCTTTTCTCTGTCTTATAACTCCATATAAATGGAAACAGAGTACAGTCTTTAGTGTCCAGCTTCCTTCACTCAGCATAATGCTTTCTCCCCCAAACTTTAATATTTAAAAAATCTTGCTTATTTACTTGGCTGTGTCAGCTCTGAGTTGCGATGTGCAGGATCTTGTGTTGCGGCGTGCGAGCTCAGAAGGCGCAGTGCAGCCTGACTGTGCGTGCGTGTGTGCTCAGTTGCTCCAGTCGTGTCCGACTCCCTGTGACGACATGGACTGTAGCTGCTGCTCCTCTGTCCCTGGGATTCTCCAGGCAAGAATACTGGAGTGGGTTGCCATGCCCTCCTCCAGGGGATTTTCCCTACCCAGAGATCAAACCCATGTCTCCTGCATTGCAGGTGGATTCTGAGTGGATACCCACTGAGCAACCTGGGAAGCCCATGACTGTATCACAGTATAACCTATTTGTTCAGCAGATGGACATTAGGTCTATGTTCAGTTTCCAGCCATGGTAGAAACAGTGTGAATATTTTGTATCTGTCTCCTGAGACACCTGGGCAAGAGTTTCTTCAGAGCTGTAGTTTTGAAATTTTTTGATCTAAGAAATCTGTTAGTATTTTTTATATTTGAATTTAAGACTGAGAGATCTAAAAAATAAATATCTATTTATTTAACAAAGATAAGGTATGTGACATCGTACAGGAGACAGGGATCAAGACCATCCCCAAGAAAATGAAATGCAAAAAGGCAAAATGGCTGTCTGAGGAGGCCTTACAAATAGCTGAGAAAAGCAAAGGAGAAAAGGAAAGATATAAGCATTTGAATGCAGAATTCCAAAGACTAGCAAGGAGAGATAAGAAAGCCTTCCTCAGGGATAAATGCAAAGAAATAGAGGAAAACAATAAAATGGGAAAGACTAGAGATCTCTTCAAAAAAATTAGAGATAACAAGGGAACAGTTCATGCAAAGATGGACATAATAAAGGACAGAAATGGTATGGACCTAACAGAAGCAGAAGATATTAAGAAGAGGTGGCAAGAATACACAGAAGAACTGTACAAAAAAGATCTTCATGACCCAGATAATCACGATGATGTGATCACTCACACTCACCTAGAGCCAGACATCCTGGAATGTGAAGTCAAGTGGGCCTGAGGAAGCATCACTATGAACAAAGCTAGTGGAGGTGATGGAATTCCAGTTGAGCTATTTCAAATCCTAAAAGATGATGCTGTGAAAGTGCTACACTCAATATGCCAGCAAATTTAGAAATGTCAGCAGTGGCCATAGGACTGGAAAAGGTCAGTTTTCATTCCAATCCCAAAGAAAGTCAATGCCAAAGAATGCTCAAACTACCGCACAATTGCACTCATCTCATACGCTAGTAAAGTAATGCTCAAAATTCTTCAAGCCAGGTTTCAGCAACCGTGAACTTCCAGATGTTCAAGCTGGTTTTATAAAAGGCAGAGGAACCAGAGATCAAATTACCAACATTCGCTGGATCACTGAAAAAGCAAGAGAGTTCCAGAAAAACATCTACTTCTGCTTTATTGAGTATGCCAAAGCTTTTGATTGTGTGGATCACAATAAACTGTGGAAAATTCTGAAAGTGATGGGAATACCAGACCACCTGACCTGCCTCTTGAGAAACGTGTATGCACATCAGGAAGCAACAGTTAGAACCAGACATGGAACAACAGCCTGGTTCCAAATAGGAAAAGGAGTACGTCAAGGCTGTATATTGTCACCCTGCTTATTTAACTTATATACAGATGATGCTGGGAAAGATTGAGGGCAGGAGGAGAAGGGGATGACAGAGGATGAGATGGTTGGATGGCATCACCGACTCAATGGACGTGGATTTGGGTGGACTCTGGGAGTTGGTGATGGACAGGGTCGCAAAGAGTCGGACATGACTGAGCAACTGAACTGAACTGAACTGAACCTCATTACATGATAATCAAAAACATTTTAAATAAAAAAATAACAATACTTTCCAAAACAAACAAAAAAGTTAACGAGAAGAGTGTCATTGCTTTACAGTATCGAGAATCTCTTCTGTCTGTAAAAGGTGAAAGATTTATATGATCTGAAGAGAAACCAGAGTATAAGTTGGCTGGATTTTCATATCTGCTTCTGCACTCAATCTGTTGCAATCTGTTTTTTCAGTTAAAGAATGAAGAAATCATGTGTCACACAAATATGTAATTGGAAAAAGTATTTTAATAGTCTTTTCATTTAATAGCCACATATCATGGAGATTATTTGTTTTTTACTTTTTGGAGCAAGCATTTAATGAGGGACATTTCTTTGAAAACAAAAGAGAAACAGAGGTTAATGGGAACAAATTGTCAACTCAGTTTTTGAGTCCAGAGGGCAGTAATTTCGAGGATTCTTAAGTGTCAGGCTCAAAGCATCTTTAGATGGGGTGAGAGAATTCCCTGGTGGTCCAGTGGCTGAGACTCTGTACTCCACTGCAGGGGCACAAGTTCAATTCCTGGTTGTGGGACCTGGGATCCTGCGAGCCCTGAGGCTCAGCCAAAAAAAAAAAAAAAAGGATAGTGGAACAAGGCTCACTGGCGGCTCTCAGGAATTTTCTGGCTTGCAGTTCAAATGTCTTTGGTGATGCCTTCGGGTGTTTCAGTGAACTAACAGCAGCAGGCATTCAGGTTTTTATACATAATCTGTTATGATGTTTTCCTTTTGAAGTTTGTGTTAAGTTGCTTTATCTTGCAGGGCACTGGGGTAAAGGGCTGTCCTAGTTTTTAGTGATGCCAGCTCAGGAGGGTGGGAGGCAGATGAGCTTACAGATACGATATACAAAATGGCAGGAGGCAGTTTATACAGAGGACAAAAGGCTCAAAGTAAGTGAACTGTCCTGCAACCGACAAAGGTATGACAGTTTTTGTTGAAACAGAATTTTTCTCTCCACAATCACGCCCATTTTTTCAAACAAAATCAAAGTAAGACTAATTTGTTTGTGAAAAAAAGTCTAGTCTCATTAAGCATGGCTAAATTTTTTAAAAATTGATTTATTGTTTTGTTATTGAAGTGTAGTTGATTTACAATGTTGTGTTAGTTTCAGCAAAGTGGTTCATATATATATATTATATTTTATACTTTATATTATATATAATTATTGGGACTATATATCATCATATATAATGCATATATAGTAGGTGCTAGGATTGGGCTCTTTAACTGTGAAAGCCCAGGTTCGATCCATGTTCAGCAAAACATCCTGTATGCTGCACAGCACAGCCAAAATACAAAAGTATATATATATATTTTCTAATATTTAAAAAACATATATATTTTTTTATTTTTTTTTAAGTGTATATATATTTTTAAAAAGAAATCACAGAAGCAAAGAACATTCAGTTCAGTTGAGTTGCTCAGTGTGTCTGACTCTTTGCAACCCCATGGACTGCAGCATGCCAGGCCTCCCCGTCCATCACCAACTCCTGGAGCTCACTCAAATTCATGTCCATCGAGTCGGGGATGCCATCCAAACCTCTCATTCCCTGTCATCCACTTCTCCTCCCACCTTCA